TGAAGTGTCTGCTACAGTGCTCTTACTGGAATCCTTAGTATTTTTCCCTGCTGCATGCTAGAAGATTGCTTGCAGATTTTCTAAGCATATCATTCATCTCTTGCCTTCTCCCAAATCTTCTATACTGTATAACATATTTTAATATTCTTAAATTACGATGCTGTGCTACAATATGCATGTTAATAGAAGCTTTCACAATATTGTACCATATCGACAGTGAAACTACCAGACCTCAGTGACCATTAATTTCAGTGACCTATCTTTTTTTATGTATTGTGGCAAACACGTCAGTGATTCCTTAAAAAGTGTTGGTCTTAGTGCGATAACACATTTAATATTATTTTGGAGCACATAAAAGGCTCAGAACAATTCATACCTACTTTTTTTTAGTTTTGAAAGGTGAAGAAACGTGACGTCATATGCTGTGCTTCTACAACGGCCTTACATACACACAAGTCATGACTATTTCATCATTCATTTACGTTTCACTCAGGCCTTGGGCCAGGTTTTGGACCGTTGCATGGCTTAAAAAAGCTGAGCTGAAGTACGAGGGTTGCTCCAAAACTAAATTTCCCTATTTAATTTCTTCCAAAATATTATAGCTAGAACACATTTGTAAAAATGTGCTTACAGGAAATGCTTTCAGCTTTTCAACGAGCTATGGTTTTTTTTTAATTTGGATCAGTGGTTGCCAACATATTAAGGTTTTCCCGCACGCACCTCTCCACTCTGTGGGTCCTCATTGGTCCAAATGAGCTGGAAAGCACCAGGCGAAACTGTCCAAGGAAAACAAAGAAAACTCTGCCTGGGTGTAAAATTATGGCAACACTGTTTTGGAATGTTAAAGGGGTATTATTAGTTGAGTATTTGCCACTTGGTGAGACAATAGATTCTGAAAAATATTGCTAAGTTTTCGAAAAACTTAAAACACGGATTAAGCATAAATGTCCGGGAGTTTTGACGCACCAAGTTTTATCGCTGCATTAGAACGCATGACCACATGATGCAGCAAATACTCAATCTTTGCTAAATTTGTTTAGATGGGAAATTTTCCCACACACTCCATACTCGCCAGATCTAGCGCCCAGTGATCATAATCTGTTTACACAACTAAAATCGGAATTCGGCGGTAAACACTTCACCAGTGATAGAAGTTCAACAATGCTGTTGATTCATGGCTTAAAAGACAGGCAACCGAGTTCTATGTACAGGGAATTAATAAGCTGGTGCTGCGATATCAGAAATAATTAGACATCGGAGGGGGTTATGTCAAAAAGTATAAGGTAAGATTCTAATGGTGAGTCATTTAATTAGGTAACTTTTACTGAGGGAATAATACCTGCTATAATAATGAAGTTAATAATTTGGACCCGTGGAGTGAAGAGGTGCGTGCGGGAAAACCTTTATACATAGGGTGTCCCAAAACAACTGAGACCAAGTCTGTAATTCAGAAACTATGATAGACACAGGGTTATTCAAAAGTCACGCACCACTGGCCATAACTTTAGTTCTAATTATGATATCAATTTGCTGTTAAAGAAGTTTTTCCTCATATCGAGGTTGACACTTGTTTAGGTACTTTCCAGTTTTTGATCCCCTCGGGGGCAGGGGGTAACTCAAAAATTTCAAATGGCTAACCCCCTTATGGCCAGTGGTGCGTGACTTTTAAATAACCCTGTATCAAAACGCGGTTTGTGGGAGGTTGTAGTCCGTACTATTAACTATCAAACCTCAAAATTTGAGGTCATTCGGTTTAAAACTCACCGAGTTATGGCAATTTTTCGGGGACGCGTTGAAGATAGCCCTACATGATTTTCGAGTAATTTTTTATTTCGCGAGCTGTCCCTGAACTGCGCTACAGATCACGACGCCGTAGATCATGCGAAGGGATCATGAGGGCACTATTCTGGATGAAGGTTTTAACCTCTTAACATGTGTTTTCATCACAATTAAGACACTTCGTCTGCGGTAGCGGTGCCGATGTTGGCCTCTGTCGTCGAAATTGACGGGCGGCCATAATGCGGAACCATAGCTGCCGACTCTCGACCCTCGAAAAAGCATTTATGGCAGCTTACTTTGCCAAGTCGATTTAGTCCATAAGCAACTGTTATCTCACTGAAAGTATCAGTGGCAGAAAGACCACGGCGAAGGCCATAGCTAATGGCATAACGTTGTTCTTGTTTCAACTCGGCGGGCGAGCTCATCGCGCTTCGCGAAAGAACGCTTCATTACGCTACACGGTTTCGGCTGCTCTGAGATACACGCGGAAGAAGTGTCTCGATTGCGATGAAAACACATGTTAACAGATTAAAACCTTCATCCAGAACAGTGCCCAAATGATCCTTCACATGATCTACAGCGTTATTATCTGTAGCGCGGGCTCAGGAACAGCTCGCGAAATGAAAAATTACTCGAAAATCATGTAGGGTTATCTTCAACTCGTCCTCAAAAAATTGCCATACCTCGGTGAGTTTTCAACCGAATGAGCTCAAATTTTGAGGTTTGATAGCTAATAGTATGAACTACAACCTCCCTTAAACCGCATTTTGATATCTATCATAGTTGCCGAATTACAGGCTTGGTCTCAGTTCTTTTGGAACACCCTTTGTATCTTGGCAACCACTGATTGAAATTCTTAAAACTATAGCTCGTTGAAAAGCTGGAAAAATTTCCTATACGCACATTTTTACAGATGTGTTCTAGTTATAATACTTTTGGAGGAATTAAATGGGGAAACTTACTTTTGGAACGACCCTCGTTTGAGACTCACTCCAGGTTTTTCGCAATGTTTATCATAGTACCTAATTGACAAATCCATTTGACCTTTGTTGGAAATTTTATTAAAAGACTCACCAAAACCGATGGTGTTGAACTCACAATATTTTAACTTATCTGCTAGTTCAGATTTAAAGTAAGGAGCAAGGCTATACACAATTTTATATGACATTTTCGTCCTTTGTAACTGCATTGAATCAGCAATACAGGAATCATGGCTTTCAACTTTAGAGTCATCTACCGTTTGAGCACGTGGGACAGATCACCTGGCTAACTTCCTGATGGCTTGGTTGTAAGTACCCGAAAATTTTGGGGGAAAATGTTGAATTGATACTTAGTGTGCTCGCTGAAGGTGTTTTTTTTCCCTTTGAAATATGAAAGCTCATGTCTCCATATTACTGAGATTATTAGTTGTACTGCAGATTTTGCAGAGAGAAAGATGTTCCATAACCATTTCATCTTCTTTTTTCTTCTCCAACCAAGGTTGAAAAAGTGAGTCATTCAGCCAGTCATCGTTGAAGGAGGTTTCTCTTAGAGCTTTAACTCCCATGTCCGTAACGATGAAAGAAAGTTAGAAAACAATAGTAGCTACTGGTCATGATAGGAATTAAAGAACCTGCAAACTATTCTCACTAATTTACCAAACAACTATAAGGCCATAAAGGTGAAAAGATGTCACAAAATTGATCTTGAGAATTACAGAGCCTATAGAGCTCACTCATGAAATGTTGCGACGAAATTCGACCCTTATTTACATCAGTGCTTTTCAATGATGCCGTTTGAACTTATGTATCACCTAACTCTGTTGAGTGGTGCTGACTTAGAGCTGATCAGGGATTGACGCTTGTTTGAACCTACGATGAGCAAACTCTAGTACATGCGGTACTGCCAAAGAAGAGTATAGCACTGTTGTTGTTGTTGATTGGAGAATAATAGCAATCTAGCCCATTCAGCTAATCAGCTAACGTTTTATTGTAAATACCTGGTGGTTGGTGGCAGACTAGCCTCCACCAGCATCTTTACCAATGTCAAAAAACAGGCTATTACTGGGTGTCGTTGAATTTTAATCCAGCCAAAGTTTAGGTAGATTTTATCTACAAGCCTATTCTGCATAGGCACTATGCCCTTCTTTTGTTCTGAATTTCACCGGCTAAGGCATTTGTTGGTTCTAAATTAATTCAAACCGTTGATGAAAACCTGAAAATTAACTTAGTCCCAAAGTTTATTTGACTTCTTGACTAGAAGGGCACATATGCCCGTGTTGGGAGAAGAGTAGTTAACATGCTTTACTATAATTTTTAACAACCTGGGGCTTTGTTACTAATGCTACTTGTATTAGAATTGGCTATAGAGGAAATATAAAAGAGATATTACATCATAAATATAAAAAGAAAGGACTTTCTTGACTGGTAAAAGTGATAGAAGTGACGCTTTCCTCCACAGATCAGATTGACTGAGCTGAGATGGAGGATGGAAGTGAGGTTATTTAGTTTCTCAGGCATAACACTTTAACCAACAATAGAAACCCACAAAAAAAAACTCCGATCATAGTAAAAGGGAACAGAAACAGATATAAAATAAATTCGGTTTATTGTATTAAAACCACCTTAAGATCATTTTTTGTTGGAAAGATTGATCCGTCAAAAAAAAAGAGACAAAAAGATGATTTCCAGCCATTAATTGATTAAGTAACACATTAGGGCCAACCATTTTTGCTCTGTATAAAAAAGGTAAAGTTGCTACACACGCATAGGTACGACAACGCGTGGGCGGAGACGATAGGAAGGAGAAGGAGTGAGGGGAATAGGGTGGCGCGTGAATTCGTCCGCAAAATTGCCCCTTCTAAACCTTAACATGCAACTTAAGTTGTTCCCAATATCGGGCATGTTCTTAGAGGCAAATGATGGATATTTAATTATTTTTTCCTGACATTTCCCGATTTCCCGGACTGTGGCAACCCTGTTTTCAATGAATTGTCCCCCAGTAGATGTAAGTGGTGCATTTGTCTTAAGAGTGGGTTTTCTAGTTCTACTAGCTCATGGTGAAGTGAAAAGTTCAACTCAATTGTTTCAGGGTATTTTCGTTCATTTTATTATTTAGGATTCGATTTGCCTTTCTTGCTTTCACTAAGCAAATTACTTCTCGTATTGTTCAAATACTTCAAAATGTTTAATAAATTCATGTCTCTTTGAAATTCTCAAACCACATTAACTGTATCTTTTCAGTTATAGCTGCACAAATACAGTGTACATTTGTCACACATGTTATTGCTAAATCAAGAAAAATGGATGCAGATGGTGTCTTACTGTAAGTTTAATTAGGAATTCTCTAATGCCCTGAATTATGTTTTCGATGTATTAGTAAATGAGTGTAAGTCAAAGGACAGAATGCATGTGGTTGAATTATCCTTTCAAGTGAGGCTCTATACTCACTGTGCACGGTGCGCTTGAACTCACTTTAAATGCGACTTGAATGTACATCAAAAATTCAAGTTGGAGGTTGTAGTGGGGTACTCCCTGATGGGTTTTTGGGCAATTTAGAAATAGGTTGTCGGAGCTCCTCGAAAAATAATCGCATTTTTGTGGTTTTTTAGGGGTAAAATAGCAAAATTGACCTTGGGGCGACAAATTAAACCCCCTCTCCCTCATCCTTGCCCCGACCGATCTGAATTTTTAGTATGTTTTCACCTGGTATAAGATGTGACTTTTCTGAAATTTTCATGCCCATACACAATTTTTTGCCCCCGCGGCAGCGTTGCCAAGTTGCGGACTCCAAAATGTCCAATTTGATGATAAGATGAAGGTTTCGAAGTGAGATTTCCATTCAATTTCAAAAATTCAAATCGCAGGTTGTAGTAGGGTACTGCCTGATGGGTTTCTGGCCAATTTCAAAATAGAGTGTTGGAGATTTCTGAAAAATAATCGCATTTTTGTGGTTTTTTAAGGGTAAAATAGCACACTGGGCACGGGGCGGCAAATTAAACCTCTTCTCTCTCATCCTTGCCGTGACCGATCTGAACTTTTAGTTTGTATTAACCTGGTATAAGATGTGACTTTTCTGAAATTTTCATGCCCATACAAAATTGTTTGCCCCCCGCGGCAGCGTTGCCAAGTTGTGAACTCAAAAAGATCGAATTTGATGATAAAATGAAGGTTTCGAGGTGTGATTTCCTCCAAAATTTCACGAAAAATGTGCGATCTGAGAGTTTTCGATAAGGAAAAGCATATTTGAACAATTAAGAGTTGCAGCGTTGCCAGCTTCACGATTTAAAATTCGTCAAAATGATCCGAATCGCGTTGCAACCTCAAGGTCTGGATTTTTATTTCGTTCAGAATTGGTCATTACGGTTCTTCTGTACTCTATGCATTTAGGTACCATGAAAATTATGCCACTATTCACTTGATGGGTGCAGCTAACTCAACAAGAGAGGTCGGATAAAGCGCAGATTCGGGGAAAAGCGAGCGGTTTGGGTTGACAGAAAGTTCTTAAATCTACTCCATCAACAGTAAGTAGAATTTGAGAACACTCTCCCACCCTCAAACGTTACCCCTGCTGCTGTCATACTTTGAACATTCTATCTAAAATCTTGCCCTTCCCCAATTATTTCCCAAAAACATGAAAAATTAAAGCATAAATGAGCAAAATGAGTGGAAAACGACGATTCAAAAAAGTTAGAAAGTCCCCGAATTCGACCTCCTCTCACAGCGTATTGGATAGTTCGAATCCAGAAAATTACCTCCAACAACTTAAGGTATCAAAAATTTGCAAAAAATCACAATTATTTTGAGTTCTATTGAAATAAATTCCTTCATAACAACAGTAGACGAGACAACGAAATGAAAGATGTTTTGTAAATTTTGTGTCATGTACAGAGAACTATCTGTAAACCCGAACCACTCGCTTTTCCCCGAATCTGCGCTTTATCCGGCCTCTCTTGTTGAGTTAGCTGCACCCATCAAGTGAGTAGTGGCATAATTTTCATGGTACCTAAATGCATAGAGTACAGAAAAACCGTAATGACCAATTCTGAACGAAATAAAAATCCAGACCTTGAGGTTGCAACGCGATTCGGATCATTTTGACGAATTTTAAATCGTGAAGCTGGCAACGCTGCAACTCTAAATTGTTCAAATATGCTTTTCCTTATCGAAAACTCTCGGATCGCACATTTTTCGTGAAATTTTGGAGGAAATCACACCTCGAAACCTTCATCTTATCATCAAATTGGACATTTTGGAGTCCGCAACTTGGCAACGCTGCCGCGGGGGCAAAAAATTGTGTATGGGCATGAAAATTTCAGAAAAGTCACATCTTATACCAGGTGAAAACATACTAAAAATTCAGATCGGTCGGGGCAAGGATGAGGGAGAGGGGGTTTAATTTGTCGCCCCAAGGTCAATTTTGCTATTTTACCCCTAAAAAACCACAAAAATGCGATTATTTTTCGAGGAGCTCCGACAACCTATTTCTAAATTGCCCAAAAACCCATCAGGGAGTACCCCACTACAACCTCCAACTTGAATTTTTGATGTACATTCAAGTCGCATTTAAAGTGAGTTCAAGCGCACCGTGTGTGGGGATCTCCTTTTCATGGCTCTCATCAAGAAATTTTATGAAGCAAATCAGTTCCAGACAAAAGAGTAAAAAATGATTCATTTCAGCCTCATTTCTAATGCAATATTCATCACTTCTAAAAAGATCAAAGGTAACCGACAATGCCTGCATAATTTTCTCGTCTTTATGTAAGTATCTTTGAACGAGAGTATTTGAATTATTCAATCATAGAATTTTGAAGTTTGCACCCAAAGAAAAGAAAGAAAAACAAGCATTTGGTCTGAAAAAATTGTAAATAAATGCAATTCTCTTTTGATTTGGTTATTTATTTAAGTAATGGAAGTAAGCCTTTGAATGAGCATGTTCAGTAATTTTTAATTATTGTATTTTTGAACAGCAGAGAGAGTACATAGTTCACAGGAATTTTCTCTGATATTCCTGAACTAATATCAACCGTCGAAAAACAAGTTTGAAGTTGCGTATTTTGAGCTCGCATTGATAAAATAAGCATCGCTTGGAAGTGAAGATGGTGTCTAAGGAGCTCCCCAAGAAACGCTCACACTTTCGACCGCCCAATTTCTCTGTTACGATCAATGGTCTTTGCATTGATCATGGAGAGTAAACGAACACACCAAAATCTTTTAATTTTCTTGAAAATGTATGACCATCTCCGCGGACGCCGTATCGGCTTTCTTGACGAAATGCACGTCAATGCATGGTGTCTAGAACTAGGAAAAACCAGGATTCGTATGGGAATGAAAAACTTAAGTGCAAGGCTGCGAACCCGGCCGGAACCTGCGGAACCGGCATGTTTCGGGGAACCGGAACGAGAACCAGAACCCGAATTTCAGGAACACCGGAACCGGTTCTGGAACCGATAGGAACCTGGACAGAACCGGGTTCCGTATGGGTTCCCATTTAGTAATAATCTGCAAATTGGCAAGAGTGAAAAAGGGCCGCGGAGGGTTATAGCGAGGGACCTTTGCTGATATGCATAGTCAAGGCTCGAGAGTAATCGGTTATAAAGAGAGAGCGACTGGTATTAGCTGATGCTGCAGTTCAATTCAAAATATAAACATAATAATAAGAAATTAAAATATTTTTCATCCCGTTTCCAAGGAGTCGGTGGGGAACTTAGTGAAAACGTTTGTGGGCAGTTTTGTGAAGGAAGGTAGGGTATAATTTTGAAAGTTTAAACATGAGCGGAAAACAGGGGATTCGGATAATTTTAAGCGGAATTTTAAATAAAATGTCATTGCATTTAATTTGTTAATTGAAATTAAAATTTTAACATGGAATCTCTTTTGAAAATCTTTTTTCAAAATAAAATGTCATTGCACTTATTTTGTTTATTAAAATTAAAATTTTAACATGAAATCGTTTTTCGTTCTTGGTCTTGCAATTTACTTCTGCAAAACTAGATTCATTTGCCTCGGAACCTACAGCTGGAACCAGTTCCGGAACCGAAACCCGAATTCCTAGACCACCGGAACCCGAGCTTCTGGACCAACGGAACCAGAATCGGAACCGGTTCCGAAAACCCACCGGGTTCCCAGCCCTGCTTAAGTATAAAATCAGGAAATCTGTTCCTAAATCCGGGATTCTCTTCTTCTACAGCCTAGAGACCATTTCAAGGTTCATGCTCTATTGCACCTGCGTTTCCATTACTGACCTTTTGAAGCGTCAAATTGTCAGAATACTGGAGATGGTCATTGACCGTATAGTGTAAACATAAAAAACGATTTCGGAATTAAAAATTCTCATGTGCACCTGAAAAACGATTAAAAACCGATATGCCTAACTGTTCGTCTGGAGAATTATAAAGTCTTAGGCAAGAAAATCCGGATACAGTAGGAAAAAACTTAGATTTCTCATCAGGGAAAAAAATCAGGGAATGAGCTTGGTCAAGAATTCCAGACATTATGGTTTAATGATAGCTCAAAATACGTACCTTCGAACTTGTTTTCCGTGGGTAAAGAACTCCGCACGATCCTTATGGGAAATCCCCCCCCCCCCCCCCCCCCCCCGGTCAAATCTGATGAAACTTTGATATGTTGCTC